GTCTTGGAGATGTTTTAAAAGGGACGCTGCTGTCTTATCCTTCGATTATTAGTATTCTTAGTCGCGTCTTACGATACCTACGGGAGAGGAATGGGTGGCCTATTCTATGCAGGGCCCACACGGCGAACTTTGTTATATAATTAATTACAATTTTAATTGTTGTAAAGTATGCAATCGGTACTTCCCTTATCTTTAGGTACATCATTTATTTAATATGTACATACCTGTTAAAGAAATGTATTTTTATATAAAACTTTTAGTTTGAAACCAGATAGTAGATGGCGTTGTTAATAATATACAAGTCGTTATTAAGATTTTCTGGTATTTTGACGGTTTGCCCTAAGATTCCATTTATTAAACCTAACATAATTTTCCATCATCCTTATTGAAGTGGTTATTTTTTTCGACGCCATCGGTAGCAGATTTTTGACTCACGTTAGTTGCTCACTACCTACCTAAAATGTAACTTCTGTAATAAATTATAATTGTTTATAAAATGAATAGCATTTTGGCTAGTTAAATTATCTTATTTTTAAAGTAGGTATATTATAGATATGTGATAGCTATAACAATTCCAAATAAAAATAAATAATTTCAACCAAATTTGTAACAGTAATTCTTTTTATTTTTATTAAATTTTATTAAGGAGATTAGGTGCACTATCATTACTCGAATTAATTTGGTTTGTTATGTACAAATATTTTTCAATAATGTGGATTCAATTTGAAATTTAATTACACTAATTTTGTATTGTCGGTTAAATTCGAACATACAATTTTTGAGGTTCATAAGGCAAAAGTTTACTGAATAATGAACAAAGAAAAGAATTTATAATATATTTATGAAAAAAAAAATAATTAATCTAGGTAATGCTATCATTTAATGCATAATAAAATAATATACCTATGCAATGCAATAAGTACTCATAAGTAACATATCTAGACAAAATTAAAAAAAAACTAAAGTATAATTATGAATATGAAATACCTCATTTATGTTTTAATAACATAAATTCATGAATAGAATAGAAACTGTCACTGATTATAAAGAAAATCGAAAGGCGTCGTACCACTGCCCTATTGTGTACTTTGACAACTTAATAACACCTATCTAGGGTCGCGCCGTAGACCGAGTTTAATGGTTGCGAATTATTCACAAATTATATAGCAATACGGATCGGAAATCCCGCTGTGTCAAACAATAATGTATTTTCCCTTTTTTTTTTCTTCGCAAAGACACTGTCATCGACACCGAAATTACAGGCAAGAGGCATTGTCACAAAGGATTAAAGTTTGCGTCTCTCGGAGGTGTTTGAAAAATATTTGCTTTTTCGAGTGTGCGTTGTATTTTTGCCTTTTGTGCAGACCACACACGCTACGTGTGCCTTTTTCTCATTTTTTCCCCAGTGTTGTGAAATTGTATAAGGTGTTTTGACAATGGTTGTGTACGTGCGTTTGCGCTGTTTCGAATGTTAACCACGGTTTCGCGGCTGTTTGTCTTCGTATTGCGGTTATGTGCCTTTTTTGTATACTTAATTTAGTAATGTGTATTGTATAGGTAAATAACTATATAAGTACCTACTTATATTGAGTGTAATCGGATTTTGTCAATAGTTAGAATATAAAGAAGACTTAAATATAATAATAACACTATAGATGGCGCTGTGTGATACGTGCATGGCAATTATATTGAAAATTACGTCTATCGTTTATATACCACATTTTGACTATGTCTAATGTCTATTAAATAATATTTAACTGAAATATGGTTGAGTATTTTTGTTACTAAGCAGAATATCTAGGTTATTAAGAAAAAAAAAGATTTCTTTAAGGATATATTTTTTAATTTTAACTATTAATGGGAATTAATTTGATGTATAGAATTCACGGCACAAAATATCAGAGACGATTCGTTAACATTTTAACACTTCATCCATTCCAAAAAAAAACATAAAAAAAGTTTAGACATGTGGCCCTATTATATGCGCGTTTTGTTAAGAGGAGAATCGAGCTTTATGTCATTTTGATACACTCTTAAGAGCTTTTGTGCGGAGCTGAATCGACAATGGCGTCTTTTTATTCGTGTGAATAACTTTTATCCCGACTTTAGTCGATCTGTTTGAATTGAATCGATTTTTCAAGCTCGGTAGTCGCCCTTTGTTGCTAATAGATGCATTTCGTCTTGCTTTTTACACAGAACTTTAATAATTACCACTTTTATGTACATTGATCTGCTCCATCTGTTACCCATAGTGTCAGAGGTTAGATACGAGCATTCAAAAATATCTGTTAGAAAGTGAATGATTAAAGTATATTTACGGATTTTTATAAACATACGTAGGTATAATTTATTCATTAATTTTAACTAACATTATCTAATATTTTCAAACGACTTCAGAAAGGAAAGGCTGTCAATTCGGTTATATTTTTATGTTTGTTACCTCATAACTCTGTTATTTGTAAACCGATAAAAAGTGATTTTTGAAGTAAGTGAAAATTAGTTCCGCAGAATTTTTATCAAAATCAGTTTAGTTTCAAGTCAAAATAACTTGTTTTTTTTTTTTGTGGAACTCAATCTTAATTATGGGATAGTTGCATTTTAAAGTTAGTTGGGATAATTTCAGTAATTAAAATACAATTTATATAAAAAATGCACAGAGATGAATGAAAAAGAGGGAATCGCGTGGAGGTTGCTTCTTTAGTACTAACAATATGGATTTGTTAAAACAACAATTCGATCGGCCCCCTCCAGTCTTTAATTCATTTAATAGATATGTTTCTGGCGGGGTCAATAACTTTATAGGTAGGGCATATTTTTTTTTAATAGATGATAATGGAATGGTAACTCCACCTGCGCTATCGGTATACGCTGCAGGGGCACCAGTGAAGAATGATAGATAAGCATGAAAGCAGGTCAGTTAGCCCATCGTGACGAATGCGACAAGTATTAATCACAATGGTTGCCGGGGGAACTGCGTGGAGGTCGACCTGACAGGGCTTGTTAACAATGGGGGCATTAGTCCCTATTACTAACAACCCCTTTCCTCCCTAGGTAGGGCATAGTTTGTAATAGATAGATCCTGGGGGTTTGTAGTCAAGTCGACCTCGAAGTCTCTCCAGGAATCCAGCGTAGTTAACTTTTTGTGAATATGTACTGACCTGAATTTATCCACACCTATCAATCCCTTTTTCATGGGGGAAAAGGGATTGTTAGTGATGGAGATTGAGAATTCCATTGCTAGCAATATACCCAACCAGGTCGACCTCCTCGCGGTTCTCCCTGGAAACTATCATGGTTAATTCCTGATGAATTCATCATGATGGGCTAACTGGCCTGTTTACATTCTCATCGATCACTCTTCACTGGTGCTCCGCCAGCGTATCCCGTTAGCGCAGGCGGGGTTACCATACCATTTTGTACCTATCAGAAAAAACACATATCAATCCCACAATTCGTGGGTCCGCGAGCTTCATCTTAGACCAAATCATCGCTTTTCATCAGGTGAGATCGTGATCAATCGCGGAAAACAATAGCAAAAAAATATTACTTGCGTTAGTTTTCGAAGTACAACAATACGAGAACATTTATTCCTCTGTTATTATAGCTAATATACATATATATAATATGCAAATACAATATTCTATTGTATTTGTATTGTTACGTTTTCTTGTCAAAGAGAACTTTAAATAAAATTCTATCATTAAACCGTTTAGACAGTGTAGCAATAGTAGACTTGGTATACAATTTTTTTTTTATAACACAGGGGGCAAATGAGCATGCGGCTCACCTGATGGTAAGTGACTACCGCCGCCCAAATTTTCTAATAGGGAGACACTTTTGTCCAGTGGAATATTAATGGGTTGTTAAGGTAAGTGTACTAGATAGAGACATAATGTGTTTATTTATTATCTCCTTAAGAAATTGATATTTTGTACCTAATTTGTTATTATTAAAAAAATTAAGTATTTATAATAGAAAATAGTTGACTAAGAAAAATTCATTTATGTAAGTTTCCTTAGAGGGGTGGGCGTTCCCCATAAAACATCACCAAATCCTAACTGCGCCTATCAAGCATGGCAACTATTCACAAATCCCCCCCCCCCCACCTTATGAGGGAGGCTGAAATGATGAAGATAATTTTAGACCATAGATACTTGCTGAAATCGCAAAATATTTTCTACATCAATGATAAGCAGAAATAATAAGCAGAGGTTCTACAGTCCCCGTATTTTTAATGTGTTTGTAGGTATTTTATTATATGTTATTTTATGTGATTTTTTTATCAATTATGAAACAATAATCTATTGTTATTATTCTTGTTTTCCATTACTTTTTTCTTGAAAAATAAAGTTGTCTATTAGATTGTGTGTGTGCATTTTATTTTATAAGGTCAAAAAATAAATCAATACATTTAAGTTTGAATTTCATTTTAATTATTTTACAATTATTTCTACACAGGATATGGATTTAAGATTTGAAAAAATACTAAAACATTTCTTTATAACAAGTAAATCAGTCAGAGGAAGACATCTGAATGCATTAATTTTATTTACATCATATCTGTATATATCAAACAATATTTGTTTGTCTTAATATTATATGTTAAACATACAAAAATATGGACGGAATGCACAATTTGACTTAGGCTTAATTTATATTTACATACAAAAATATGAGATCAGGAAATATACAAGATATCAGAAAAACTTTAGCTTAAATAATACTAATAGAACCCAAAGATTTCATGAACCTTATTACAAAATTGGCATCTAAAATATATCAATGTAATGAACTATCACAACTGTACAGTACCAAGATAATGAAAGATATCTTTAAAAAAAATATGCAGCAATTTTAAACAAGTTAATAAGTTACAAAAAATCCGACTTTAATTTGTTTTTGACAGTTTATGGTCGCTATTTTTTATTTTGTGGCCTCGTCATGTAGTCTATATTAACCTCACTATTAATAAAAATGTACCTACAGCATAGTATTTATTAAAATGCGTCGAATCGTTTAGACTAAATGACGTGCCAAAAATCTAGACAACGAAAGGCAAAACACATAATGCACCCGAAAAATATTATATTCCTTCTTCAAAAGTTGATCTAAAAAGCTTTAAATATACAGATACTATTTTATCTGTGTTTTGTTTCCGACGGAATTTTTAAACTCCGGGTCTCAATTTATTATATAAATTGGAAGAGACATATCATTTATTAAAAACATGTGGGCGTATCATTATGAAGAAAATAGCTTTAACGCCATGACATTTTGCTGTCTAAATTTTTAGTAACAGTCGTTTTAAATATTTCAAAACAACGGTTGTAAAATTGTAGTAAAAAGTGTTGGGTGTCTTATGAATCATTGCTCTTTCACTTAAATCTATAAGGCATCATTTTTATAGGCGTTTAATCAGTCTTTTAAAAACATTCGCCACTAAATCACTTCCTTCATCACTATTCACTAATTCTCGTCTTCTGTGTCTAAATTGTCAATAGGAAAGTTTGGGTTAAGTAACGGACTCTTACCACTGCTCCTGCTCGGCGAAGTGTTTACTGAAGACATACCAACGAGATTGTGAGTCAAACTGTGACGTCTCAAGTCACAATTCCTTCTAAATACTTTTCCACAAGAGGAACAATTGTATGGTTTTATATCCGTATGTGTCAGAAGGTGGGTTTTAAGATTTGATCTTTGATTAAAACTTCTACTGCAGACTGGGCACTTGTGTGGTGATTCCTCCATGTGTAAAATTTTATGAACGGCTAATGTTCTAGACTGACAAAAGCCTTTACCGCATTCCAGGCATTTGAATGGCTTCTCCTTGGAGTGTATGTATCTGTAAAAGAACGTGATATTAAAATCAGAGACTACTTATGAATTATTTTAGTTTTATTAATAGTACAATAAATGTAATTCGTCGGACATATTTGAAAACAACGTTATATGAATAAGCCTAATACTAACTCAACGGTCATATGGCTAAATTTATTTATAGACAGGTGTTTATTATAGGAGAGTAAATTTATTTATATACTTAATTAATTAACATTCCTCAATCGAGTTGTATAAGTAATAATTTGTGATAAAGCAATGGTGCACGTGCGTTACAAAGGTACTAATATAACCTAAACACAAGTAATCTAAGCCGAACTTAAAACTTTATCTATGACCATTTTAATGAAGAAAAAGAATTGTACAACACGTAATATATTATTACAATAAAGATATCTTAGATGAGTATCAACATAATTAACGTAGCAATTAACATAACAGAATTTTGTACAGATGTCAATATATCAATTGGTCCTGGATTTTCCTGAGAGGTGCAATAAATACTATCTCCAGGCGCCGATCATATTGAACCAAGTGTAGTACATTGTGAACACCTTGTGTGGAAGCAAACAAGAGCCCGCGGGATATTGGTAATAAATTGACTACATTTCTTGTTTTTATTACCGACATCATACATGTGCAGGCAAATGTGCTTACATGAAAATGTTTTATAAATGCCTTTTGTTATGACAAAACACCTAGATGAGATAGAATATTGAATTCGTAACAATACTTTATATTTAAAATATTTCATAGTTTAAATTATAATCGTTTAAAACTTGAAGTTTTGGTTATCTGAACCAATGTGTCAGTAATCGTAGGACATGTTTAAGTTGTTACGGATACAGTTTCACTCGTAGTTTGGAAACTGGTTTTGTCACTTATTGTATCATTTATTTTGTAGACTATTTATACTTGCTTTTATTTTAAATATATCGATGATAGAAGATATTTCGAATGTATTTTAATGTATGGAGATATATAGTAGGCACATTAATTTGTTTATTGGTATTATTGATAAAAATCTTTAACTTATTCACACAGAAATCTATATAAATAAAATATACTTAGCATATTTTAAAGTCTTCGAAATATTAGAAGTTAAAAATAAAAAATAAAAAGAAATGTTATAAAGAATTTTAAATATATCATAAACAACATCCAAGAAACGACTTCCAAATTAAATTTAGACGTAACAACGTACAATTAACACGGCACAACGTGTAATCAATAATAACGCATAACCAGAAACCCAGCAATCGAATATTCCACTTTGAGAAATTATTTCTGTAAGTATCGTATAAACAAACACACTTTGAGAGAAAATTACGACGTGTTCAAAGAAACGTAATACCTGTAATAATCGGCGATATAAGTTAGATCAGTGACGATAAAGAGCTACAAGATGATGAATGAAAGAATAATTTCAATATTAAAACACGAGATGATGACGGTGATTAGGATAAGGCTACACGTGTGTGCATCGGAGCGTATCGTGACACCGTCGCGAGCGTTAGGCCTAACTATAAGAATAATGAATATCTAGTTGACTAATTAAACTCGCTATTTCTTGTTAATAAATTTAAAATAAAAAATGAATAAATCATGTATTCTAAATTAATAGTATCAATGTCTATAATTTGCTAATTATACGTGTTTTGTTATTTATTTGGAACGAAAAAAAAATTCCAAAAGCTCGAGCACTAATACTTGTACACATGAAAAGGTTTATGTCTTTTTTGTTGTCCATATTAATCCTCACGTCAGGATTACCACGTGCTTTGTTAAACCCGTCGAAGCGGCCGCTTCAGTCCATTATAATGTATCGTGTCAACGGACATCGATTGAACATCGACAGGCCGGGTTCGGGTTGCCCTCCAGCGCCTACACGAAATTTATTTTATTGCCGAAGAGATACGGTGATTTGGGAGGAAATCGCTAAGAGACAGGTGTTAAAAATTCAACACCTTTTTGGTTGTACAGCTCGGAGCAAAGAAATGTATTAGTAAAGAGTATTAATATATATCAGATTTACTGTAGATAGTAAATCTTGTAACAAGCTAATTACATTATCCTGTAAACTCATATACATGTTTTAAAGCATTGTTTGCGTTTATAAATATATTTTACGATAAAAAGATACAAGAAAGATACGTAGAGATATTTTACATGGAATTTCTTGGAGTCGAAAGAACAAAATGAAAAGTCAAAAAATTAAAACATCGCCTGCTCTCGGATTAGCGGCGGTTTTGTGGAATAATTTACGAGCGTGACGAACGACTTGTCGATACCATCTGCCAGCTCCATACTTAAACCTTTTTGTTTTAAAATGTATTTTTTCCTTCACCGCCATTATTCAAAAAATGTTCATAACGTTTCGCGTTGAAACCCGATGACCGAAATCTTTTATTGATATCGAAAAATGAGAATTGGGGTTCTCTCAGATGTATCATGTCATGGTTTTATCTTATAAATAAGTATCAGGCCATTTGATCCGGCCAATCGTTGTAGGGAAACAATATTAATTACTACACATCAGTGATTTACCAACTCGAAGTGTGAAGATAACATTAAGTAGATTAAACCCACAAATGTTATTGTCTTTTTGTATTCATTATAAAAGATATTTTTGGGCGATTAAATTTTTTTGTACTATCACAATTTAATAATGTATATATTTCTTAATACGAGTACGTATGGTTGTTTAGATAATTGGCACTTAGTTACGTTTAAACGGATTTAAATGACATTTGGTATAAAGATTGACCATATTTTAGATTAACATATAGGATACCTCTCATCCTAATTTAGGCGAGCAATCCCACGTATTGTAACCACTATTAAATAATGCAGATAGTATCGTAATAAATTGTATTATATTTTATATGAGTATATATTAGAAGTATTGTTACTTTTCGAAATCTATCATATATAATTTAAACAAAGTGAAGACAGTACCAATGGTATGAGTTATAAATAGCGAGTTATCTTCAGTTATAATGAGTATTAATATATTTTAACACCTGAGACATATTACAAACCAGTTGTTTACCGCCCATTAAATAAATCATAAAATTTAAATTACTATATTCATGCATTATGTATTTCGTTGTGCGATGCTTTTTTTGTCTCTGTGAACATCTGCTTTGATGTTTATGAATACTGAATGTAAGTATTCAATTAGAAATATATAAGATGTAGATAAAATGAATATTTTAATAATGATGTTATCATACAAATAAATAACATACAATAATAATGATCATTATCACCTTCACAGTCTGTATAGGTAAAATATTCATATATCTTTGATTCATAAATTCACATTTCAAAGTTTTTATTTACCTGTGATCTCTCAGATGATCTTGCCGTCGGAAAGCTTTGCCACAGATGTCACAAGAATATGGTCTTTCATCTGTATGGGTTCTTTCGTGTATGAGTAAATTGTAAGATTTTGTAAACTGTCGATTGCAAAATTTGCATATAAACTGCTTCTTTGTCCTTGGCCCACTTCCAGTACTTTTTTGTTTATTTGATATGCTGCTTCCTGCGGATGATGTAGAACTATTTGTTGACTTTGATGAATTTGAAGCCTGGGGCGATAAAGGCGCCTGTGACGGGCTTCCGTTCATTTGTTGTTGATACATTGCATTCATTAGCAAACTTGGGTATCCGTTATCTAAGTTTTGCGAGTTGTAACTATAGCCTTTTGACGTCGATTCTAAGTGCTGTTCTAATGTAAATTCATCTTCATTATCTAATAACGCTAGATCTTCCTCTACTTCTTCTGATAAATCTACATCTTCAGCTGCAATAGCATCAGATAAAGGATAATCTTCAGGAGTTTTTGGAGAAAAATCTCTAGAAGTATTTTCTGATACATCTACTTCGCTAATCTTAGCACTTGCTGTAGCTATCCTTAATATATCTTGTTTTGAAGTAGAATTATTTTCGGATGTGTTTGGTTGATTTGAACTATTTACAGATGATACTGAAGTTAAGCGTTGTAAGGTTAAATAAGATTCTAATGCTTGTAAATTTAGTGCTGCCGCCGCGGCAGAATTTGATGGCAAAAGCGCTGCTTGTTGTAAAGAATTCATCATCGCATTTTGAAGTGATATGACTACGCCCTGTAACGATCTCTGTAACATATTTTCCTGTAACAACGCAGCGGATGCTATTGACAAATTTAAATTTGTAGATGAAGAGGAACTAGGGCTCTTACTTGCGTTCGGTTTAATATCCAAATGTGGAGATGGTGGATCAGCTGTTAGTAAGGTGTTCATATCCGTCGTCTTGCTGTCTTGAATTTGCAGATTATTCTTCAGCTTAATAATGGCGCTCTCCAGTGAGTTTAATGTGTTTTTGTTAGAGCGTGAAGAATTTTGTTCTTGCATTGTGAACCGCTTCAACAGATGATGAATATCAATGACGAGTGATAACTTGAAGCACGTGTTGTCGAGGGGAGCGGCGGGGGTAACGCGTGCGCGTGCGCCTTTCGAGAGGCACGCGTTAAAGCAGCGTGCGAGGCGGCTGTGCGGCGCGGCGCGACTGAGCCGGCGGCGAACCGGCGACCGCCCCGCCCCCTCGTCCCTCAGCCTTCCCGCCTCACAAAAGCTCTCTATTTTAGGCAACTCTTTGTACGCTGTAATGGTCACCTCACGCTGCCCTAACGACAGACACGTCCATGAGAACAACGTTGCGCCAGATCTGTTGTACCCCTTTTGAAGTGTAATGAGATTCTGAATGGAATGGACTCGATGGGAAAACAATATGTCGAACGATCACTGGAGTTGTTTTGTCAGTAGGTCACGCTTCCATGGATGTATGATTTGTATATTTATACTATTAGGACTTTATCATAATGCAATACGTTTATATTATTGCTTGTATACCTACCTTCATTAAATTAATTCATATATGTACCTAAAAAGAGAAGAAGTTGCATTTGATAAAAATGACTATTTTATTATTATTATATCAGCCGTTAACTGTCCACTGCTGAACATAGGCCTCCAAGATAAAAGGGGTTCTGTCAATAGTTATCACGCTTGACAGGCGAGTTGGAAACCGCAGTTAAGCTTTGGTGATGTTTTAAGAGGGACGTTGCTGCCCATCCCTCATCCATTAAGTTGCCTTAATTACCTCTTATGACACCCATAAAAAAGAAAGGGATAGCCCATTTTACGCCGCAGCTATACGACAAAATTGACTGGATTTGTACAAAAATATCAAGTTCCTAGAACAGCATGAAATGGACAATTTCGAAGAATTATATTTAATTATCTATTGAAATTTAATTGCCTGATCATCGATATTGTACTATTTCATTTGAAATATCTATTGACATTCCAAAGTGAGACATTAATTCCAATTTTAAATTTGTCACACCTGAAAGCAAGACAAAGATTCGAGTTTTAATGAGTCTACTTAATTCAAGCAGACTTATTATAAGTCCGAGACTATAAAACTTGTAACCTTTAAAATATCTTTTTGGGATGAAGTTTTATGTTTGAATGATGGGTTGGAACATTAAAATTATAAGTGGCATTGCGATGACCAACGCCCATAAAGCGAACATCCGAGAAACAAGCTTTGAGACAAAAGTGGACATTAACCAAATAAATACCAAAGCAAGCCAGTGTCGCTTTTCATGTTTGCCTGCCACAGACTTCGGAACAAACAGATATGATCATAATATTAATATATTAAAAATCCCGTGTCACGATATTCGGTCCTAATCTTCTAAACCGGAGGGAAAGGGATTGTTAATAATGAGGTCTAACAGTTCCATTACTAGCAATATATCTAAATGGCTCTTGATAACCATAGTGTTTAATTCTTGAATACATTACGATGGGCTAACTGACCTTCTTTTACCCTCACCATCATCTTTTACTGGTGTATACTAATAGCGTAAGCGGGGTTACCATTTCATTTTTACCCATTAAGAAATCTTCTAAACCGTTCAATCATTTTTAGTAAAGTTCGATATATATGTAGGTATTGTCTTCAACTTCAAAGATAGAAATTCTTATCTCAATATTAAAAAGGACGCGGTAGATGACCTTTTGCCTGGTTAGCTAGTACAATATTAATTTTTATTTAGATTAATGAGGTATAAAAATAAAGTAAATTATATTAAATAAATGAACATCTTCCAAATTTAATTAAAAAATAGTTAATTTATATTTATTCAAAAATAACACCATAAGTAACTATAATTAATACAAATTTTGTGCCTTAAAATAGATTTAATAAACGCATAATTATATTTAAAATGACACAAATATATTATTACTTAATCCTAATATATCAATAAATGTTTATAAATTTGATATTACTGTCAATAAAGTAGTAATTTAATTTAAATAAAATTGCCAAGTCTGAATATTTGAATGCTAAGTCATGCAAAGAAAAGTTTAAGCAAACAGAAACAAAACAAAATGGTCGAGGTACAAGTTTATTAGGTTTGCCGAGTTGAACTCATAAAATATTTACATAATGTATTAATATTATGAGATATATAGTAAGTACCTACATTGATTACTTGCATGAATTAACAAACTTTAAAACGGCAGTAGATACATTTTTTAAACCTCTTTCATGAATAATTTTTATATGCATGTGCCATTACGTTGAAAATTGGTCATAAAAAATTGATTGGTTAATGAGTTCTTATTACTGTTTATGTCTGTAGGAGACGGTTACCACTTTCCTTCAGATGAGTTCTTCAGGTCAGCTTATTTTTTATTCTGAGCAGCATAAAAAAGTGAGTGAGAAATTTAATTTAACATTTTATTTAATAAATTTATCTCCGTGTTAACTTTTTTACATATAGGCTTAGTAGGTCCTTCTCACGTAACATTGTATCACGTAATAAATACATACACTCATATTCGATTTTATTGTAATGATGGCCTTTAGTCTTAACTTCGTCCGTTTGACCAGGATATGACTTCCATATCCCGGTCAAACGAACGGAACTTTGACCATGATCAAAAGTACCCTTTATCTGTCTCCAACCCATTTATTTTTATTTATATTATTTTATTATTATTATTACTATTTATATATTATATTTAGAGGATAAGGAAGCTGAAGTGGCAATGGACTGGTCACATAGCTCGAAGAACCGACAATCGATGGAGAAGAAAGGTTCTTGAGTGGCGACCGCGTATGGGCAAACACAGTGTAGGACGATCCCCCACTAGATGAAGTGACGACCTGAAATACAATGCAGGGAGTCAGTGGATGCAGGTGGCTCATGACCGTTCTTTATGGCAGTTTATGGGGGAGGCTTATGTCCAGCAGTGGACGAATAATAGCTGAAATGATGATGATGATGATTATTGTTATTATATTTAGTGAATATGTGTACTCGTATAGTAAATTTCATAATGATTGCTTAAACCGTTAAGGCACTAAGAGGTAATAAGTAAATAAACAAACTTACTTCACGTTTATAATATTATTACAGTAAGGATGTGCTACAGATAATAAAATTAGAATAGTTCGTATAACTACCAGAGGGAGACTTTGTACAAAGTCATTTGTTTATGTATTTCAGTTCCATTTACGTTTCTAACGTGAAACAGTTGTTTGCATGACTATGTTTTGGTTTGAACAGTGGGCTATTATAGTTCAAAGGCATAACATTTAGTCCTCAGAAATGGCGATGCATGTAGGGTATCATGGGTGACACAGTATATTTTGTTATACCCATGGTATTGTTCACGTCTACAACTTTCCATGAGTTAAGTCATCAACTGTTTGTCATTCTAAGTTGCATGAAAAAAATTTGCTAGTAAGTGGCGGCCTTACATCGTGCGTTTTTCAAGACAAAATAACATATTCCTTCTTAAAGGCCGACAGCACATCTGCAACTCTGGTATTGCAGATTCTTATGGACTATGGCAGTTGACCTCGAGAGAGCCGCATACTCGTTTGTCCTCTGTATTATAAAAAAAAACTTATTTGTCCTTAATCTTATAGAATACCATGTAGATAGATACAATAGATTTAAAACTCACGTTGCAACAAAGACTTGCAATTCTATCATTGGCAATGGTGTTCTGGAAGATGAACAGAAACAAAAGGTAAGTCTCATGCTCCAATAGAGCGTGACTGTTGCAACAATTGACATGTGAAACGAGGAAGTAAGACGCCTAATTGGAGAATTTAGATAGGTTCAGAAATGTAACTTTTATTTAAATTTCTAATATAATAGTTTTCTTTGTGTATCGATAATGACAATCAATAATAGATTTTATTCTTTTTTATTCTAAAATAATTGTCCAAATAGGTTCATAAAAGATGGAGTTTTGAGGTAATGATTACAAAAAATAGAAATAAATCAACGTACGCAATGGGCACATTTTTGTTCGTGCCAGAAATTAGACGTTGGTAAATAATTCTTTAGATATGAAAAATGTCGTCCTAATAACCTAAGAACAACCTATATTTGGTTTCATATTTAAATTCCCCTAATACATAACTCTTGGGGGGAAAGAGATTGTTAGCAATGGAGTTTGACAGCCTCATTGCTAGCAACATTCCCTATTAGGACGACGGACCTCCACGTGGTTCCCCTGGAAACCATCGTGAACAATTCTTGTTGAATTTGTCACAATGGGTTAATTGATTTGCTTCATCCTCACCTATCATCCTTCACTGGTGTCCCGCCGGCGTATACCAATAGCGCAGGTGGGGTTATCATTCCATTATCACCCATTAAAAAAAACCTAAATATTTAAATACAGAATTGTACAAATTTTATATAATCGCTTTCACAATTAAATTGTAATAGTCTTTACTATGGTATAGATTTTGACAACTTCATTCTATTCTGTTAGTTTAAATTTAGATCTTTTGATGGAACGATCACGTTAAAGATTAACTAGATGGAAATCAACATGACATGTGACGACAACAATGAAGAATGCTCCGTGTCTTGTTACTAATTCGCGGCAGACATTAGGCTCGGACGCAGTGTTGCTAGATTAAGTATTTTCCGCTATTTTGGTATAATTTTTTTGCTTTGGAAATATTTTGAGGAGATGAAATTTTTGAAGAACTGTCAATAAGAAATTTTATAATTTATTTAAAGAGTTTTGGTATTATAAACTATATATCACGGTAGCTAAATTATTGAGAGGACAGCGTTGAGAGGGGTGGCATTTTTTTTTCTTTTTGTTTATTAGTCGTAGTAGTAATTACTTGATTAAACCTTATAAAAATTTACAAAATACTATGATTAGATAAAAGTAATGGAAATTGTATGAATTTGGAGAAAAACGTTTAAAATTTGATGCGAAATAACAATCGTACATGGCAACACTGCACAGACGCACGAGCGGTGTTACAGTCGTTCTCACGCCGCCACCGCCCGGAGGCACTGAGAGAACACGACTCACAACAGATATAAAATTAATTTATCTATAAATGTTGCGTCCAAACTACGTGGTAAGGGAAGTCTGGGTAACTCGATTAGTAATGGGGAAATTCAGAAAAAAAGAACGAAAATAAATAAAGAATAATTCTCTTTTACGAACTC